ATAATTGAATATGAAACTTACTATTTAGGAAAAATATTTTTAAGTATGATAAATACTTTATAATATCTATACCTCTAATATGCCCACTTCCAATCAAACTCTCTTCGCCACATTTGCTGACGACACAGCAATATTTGCTTCAAATAATGACTCAGACACCGCTTCACACAACTTACAATTGCACTTAAATTTAATTGAGTCTTGGGCAAACAACTGGAAAATTAAAATTAATGACAATAAATCCGCTCAGGTTAATTTTTCCCTTAAGAAAAAAGAATGCCCCTCACTCAAATTTAATAACAAACCAATTCCTCTTCATCAATCAACTAAATACTTAGGTATCACTCTAGACAAAAGGCTAACCTGGGCAGATCATACAAAAAATAAACGTAAACAACTTAACTCCCGCCTCCATTTACTCCAACCTCTTCTAAAATCAAAAATAAATCTCAAAAATAAAATATTAATTTACAAATCTATCATAAGACCAATATGGACCTATGGTATTCAAATTTGGGGCCCAGCGAAACCAGCAAACATCCGTCCCATCCAAGCCTTTCAATCCATTTCATTAAGACTCTTAACCGGTGCTCCGTGGTATATCACAAATTCAGCTCTTCATAACGACTTAAAACTTCTAACAGTTAATGAACTTGCTAAAAGCTACTATAAAAAATTCCATTCCAAATTAATTAACCATTCTAACCCCTTTATCAAAAACATGTCTTCTCTCACACTACCTCTTAATATTCCTCGACGGTTAAAAAGAAATTGGGCTAGAGACCTTCTAATCTAAATCTAAAATTTAAAATTAAAAAGTAAAATAAATTTCAATGCCCGAACTCAATTTTCTGAGGTTCTGTCACTGGACAGTCTCCTCTTCATGTGCTTCATGTCTTCTTTAATCACTATCATCATTGTTACTTATTGTTTTATGTGTAAACAGATTGTAATATATTTTTAATAAAAAAAAAAAGTATGAAATATTAAAAAAAAAAAAAAAAACTGCATAATAATCTTAATAATATATATTTTCTAGTATCATTGTCTATAATAGTGTTTGAGTTAGTGAACAAGATGTTTTAAGAAGAAAAAAAAAGAGTTTTATTATTGAATGATTTCTATATTAATTGTTAATAAATTATAAGTATATATTATAAAAAACTGGTATATTAATTTTTCAATTCATCAAAATATAAATAAAACTATTTTATGTTAATAGGTTAAAATAGAAGTTGATTTCCTGAAATGTTTTACTGAAAATAACTAGGTTTCATATTATTATCAATGTGAAATTCTTCTCAGTAACTTTTGATTTTAAAAAAATACCTTATCTATCTACTTGTATATTCCTTGATAAATTTCTGGATTTAAGAATATTTTAAATTTTGTTTTGTGAATGAATGTTTTGTGTTGGCTTGGAAGTTATAATTTGATTAATTTGTTCGTTATATATTAGTTTTAATATATATATATATTTTTTTTTACAGGTGCTATTCAATGAGTTTGGTCCATTGAAAACTGCAGTAGTTCACTATGATAGATCTGGTAGATCTTTGGGAACAGCTGATGTTGTATTTGGCAATAAAAATTCTGCATTAAAAGTAGTACGTCAATATAACAATATACTGCTTAATGGTATGTATTTCAAATATTTTGTAATTTTATAATTTTATTGTTAATTCATTTTATTGATTATTTAAGGTCGCCTTATAAAAATTGAACTTGTAACAGATCTTTTAACTGTTGCCAACCTTGCTACTCGTCTCAGTAAACCAGCACCATGGCCTGTACGAGAGATTCGTGGGGTATTCTATTTTGTACTATGGAATATATTTATTTATATATTTTAAATTAAATTATAATAGTTATAATTCAAATTTTCCTTTTTATAGAAGGAAGAAGTAACCGGGGCAAACGTGGAAATATCCATGGTAACTCCAGAGGACGTGGCGGTAGAGGTAGCAGGAATAGCGAAAAAAAAATGTCAAATAAAGATGAATTAGATGCACAACTTGATAGATATATCAAATTTAACAAAAGCAAGAATAATTGATTTCATGTTTATATTTTTGACTTTTTTCTAATATTTTTAAGTAAACTAATGTTCGACAGCTCAAACAGTGTTACTAAGTTATTTGACAGATGACTTAATGATTTCTTGATAGGTTGATAGTAATTTTGATCTGTTGATCTCCATATTTGGTCTTTAAATGTATTTTATGTGATTTTATACTGCATTATGATTTTTATTATATTTTTATATTCAGTCCCAGACATTTTTGTTTATTCTTGAAACTCAAATTATATACCATAATAATGATTTAATCTGTTAATGAAATAAAGAAGTACTATGCTTCAAAAGAGATTAAATAGCTTTCAACTATTTAACTATAGGGCAATAAATGGCAATAAATGAAAATTCCAAAGACATTGGTGATATTAAAAACTGGACTGAACGCAGAATTGTTTTATAATCAATTATAATTATTCATTAAATTTATTTTGTTTATTCATTATGTATATACCTAATCACGTTTTTTATTATTTACCCTATTTAAATATATCACTCAATCTATTTCAAGTGTTATGTATTTAATTTTTTTTTTCCGAAATTTAATTTAAATTTTAATTATCAAGACAGTTATAACAATGAGGAAATGGCTATTCAGTCATTTTTTTAGGGAAAAAAATTAAAATTTTAAATTAAACAGTTAGGTATTTAGATATTTGTGTGTATGTTTTTATCTGAATTTTGAACGCTTAAATTAATTTTTAGTGGTGTTAGGGGTAGGCAATGGCACTTTTTTGCATACCCCGTAAAAGAAGTCTGCGCACGCCTATGGTATTATGTAATGGTTTCACAATACCGCGGCGTTATAATCGATGATAATCTTTACAATCAGAGCCAATTTTCATGAAAATTTAATCGAAAAATTCAATTTAATTACATTTTTAATGATCTCCAAACTCATAAAAATATATTGTTCAAGATTTGTTTGTTTTACATTGTTAGAGTGCTATTTAATATTTACGATATAGGTACCTACTTGAAATAATTTACCTACTTCGCTTATTATGTAAACCATGAGCTATGTATTAGCTAATTAGTTTTCTAACTTATAATAGGCAATTAAAATTCTTAACAACCTACATAAGTTTTTGTTAATCGAATTAACGCTTATCTCCTACAGTGCAGGATTAATATTAGGTAACAACCAGGCAAGTTCGCAGAGATTAAGCTTACAACAAAATGGCGGTAAAATATTTTACAACGTGTTCACAATTTAACGTTAGTTTTTATAAATAACATTAAACACAGATTTATTTTTCAAATGCGATTTCTGGACAAAAGTAAAACGTAGATCGGGCTACGTATTTTGCAAATGCGAAAATTACATTCTATAGACGTGTCGATCATGAACGGATGGGTCATATTGAACGGGCCACACTTGCGAACGAACTGATCCGGATTACAAAAATATAAAAAGTCGTTCATTTGTTTAATTTCGTTCTCATTCGTGTTGCACTGACTGGGAACGAATCCACCAGGAATATGGACAGTGAATAAAAAGAGTCGTTCATTTATTCAATTTTGTTTTGGTTGCATACAGTGACGTAAACAGGACTAATTTTAGGGAGGTGTTTTTTTTACATTTTTTTGTAATAAAATGTAACTTGTAAAGGATTTCACACTCATGTAGTCATAAAAAAATATTTCTGAGCTTTATTCTTTGCAGCTCTCTATAGATTCGTGTAGCCACAGTATCTACATCCATGCTGTAAACATATATTTCTTAAACTGTGCTGTAAACAAGGTAATTATAAAATAATAAAATAATTTAATGATTATTATCACCAGTGCAGTAGATAACGCAAATTCCATATGATGGTTTAGCAGTGGCGAAATTAGAAATTATTTAATGGAGGGGGGTCTAGTCTAACAATTTTACTTAATTTGTTCTCAAAATATAATCACAGTAAAGAACGATTATTGGGGAAGGCAAGATTGCGCACTTTCTCTAAAAAGAATAATATTAATATAAAATTGAACAAGTGTTAACTTTTTGAGAATATATAGCTCATAATTTGAAAAACAAAATTAGCTCCTTTTTAAAGTTTTACTTATGGGCAACCATGATCATAGTTAAATGTATAACCAGTAGAATACTATAAAATATAAAATAAATAATAAGTTATAACTTAAAGGTTAGTAATGTTCTAAAATATCTCAAAAAATGCACTTAAAAAAATGCAAAAATGACTTAAAAAGTACACTATAAAAATGCATTTAAATTATATTTATTATAGCTTAAAAATTGGAAAAAAAATTAAAATTATACTACAGTAGTGTATTTTTTTTTTTTTATAGTATTGTACGTTGTGACTAGTCAAGTTCTGTTATACTTCTGTTTTCTTTTACTCAAATAAATTGTTAATATTTTAAAATATTTTTGCTAGTCATTATTAGGTACTAACCTGAACAAAATTGCTATTACAATAGTATAATGATATGCTGTCTTATATTTTGAAACAAAAATGACTCTCGTTAGTTAAATAGTAGCCTTTTTTCATAATTTTCGTTTATTTTTATGAATAAATAGTTAAAAATCCTCTAAAAACTAAGAAAATGCATTAAAATGGTCAAAAAATACCCTACAAATGCATTTAAGTTATTGTTGTTTTGATTTTTTTTTTTCAAATGTATCTGGTATATATATAATGATTTATTTACTGAAATGGTTGAAGCAGGGTAAAATACGTATGTCGTATGTTCAAATTTTGAATAGTTTGATTCAAAACTCATATTATTATCGTATAATAGTGATTTGATATAATATATTGATAATAGCCTAACATTATGATAGTGGTGAATAAATTATGCGCATGTGTAGAATGCATAAGGTGCATTCCTGTGTTTAGACGCTCCTCAGAATAGATTAAATTTAATCTACTCTATGATTACACCACCATCGATGATAACAATGGCGATAACGTTGTGGCTTTAATGATAATGCGATTTAGTGTTCGCTGTCTGCACGTGTGTTGTCTTTCATTGTCAGTTGTACGGCGGTTGATCTTTGTTTTTTCTGTTTTCAAGCTTTCGCGGTTGGTTCATTAGTTTTTAGTGTATCTTTTCGAACTATCGCCCGCCGACGGGACACTATGGTGTACAAAAAACGGAAGATTAAGGTGTTCCGAGGCAAAAAGAAAAAGGAATCAATAGACGTCGTGATAGAAAAACTCAAAAAATCGTACGAACAGGTAAGCCAACTAGTCTGGCTCTGGTCGTCGCGTAAATATTATTCACTCCGTGCAACAATAATTTCTTGTTCTACATTTTATTATTGCATACCAGGTAGACGGGTTCTTGTTTGGATTGTGGTTGTCTTTTTAGTAAAATGAACATGTTTCTCGTGCAAAATCTCATAGATTTCTTCACAAGCACAGTGTATATAGTAATCACTGGATTATGTTACCCGCTGTTTATTTCACCCCAATCTTCACCGGTTTTCTGTGACTCAAATTTTGAATTGTATAGTATTTTTCATAATTCTTCAATTAGTTTAAATAGTTTTTTCTGCAATACATTTTATTTTATTATCATTGCCCAAATAGTTGCAATACATTATTTAACTGTAAAAATATGCCATTTTTTTATTATTTTTTAAACTTCTAGTTAATCATCCTACATGTTTTGTTTGAATTTTGTTTAATGTTTGAAAAAAACAATAAGTTTTTCTAATATATAAATAAATAAATAAAAGCTTAGCCTGGAGTATTATTATATTTGTTAAATATGACCGGTTTTAAGTAAAAAATTTATCATCATATATATATATATATATATATATATAAGTATCCCTATATAAAATTAATAAAAATATAAAGTTGCAGCTGAATATGAAAAAATAAAGGAAGGAATAAATTGAGAAAAACTTGTCGCTTTACATAAAGATAATTTATTTTAAAAGAAGTGATTATTTAAAATGAGTTCTTATTAGCAGTAACATGCCTAATGTAATTTGCGCCCGTTGCCAAAAAATCATTTTTAACGCCTTTATCCCTTTACAAAATATTTTTGAACCTATAATTATAGCTAAGCTTAAACTATAAGGAGACTACTTAAGAATATGGAGTTTTATGTAACTACTTATTTTGTATTTATTAAATTAATAAAAGAAATAATCAATGACTAAAGAACAATATAAATAATATAGCTGATTCTTCGACGCCATATTTTTTCATTTTGGTCTACTTATTTGAACAAGTTACCCATGAATATCGCTTCTAGATTTAAATCTATAGTTCCCGTTATACCAGATATATTATGGTTCAACGATCTCACTCTTTCCAGATCTCTCGTAATCAAATTTAACTGATTATGCACTGGCCATCATCTTTTACCATGTTGCTTGCAAATTAAATCTTAATGATTCCCTTCCAGTGGTACAATTATCAGGAGTATTGGGTGTACAATTTACAGAGACCTCCGGTTTTGGGGAGCCTCAAGATTTTTTCTGATATTACCTTTGTCCCTTACAATATTTTTACTATAATCTTTAATATACATATATTATGTTGTCTGTTTTAATATAATAACAATAAGTAATAATATAAGTCTGGACATTTTCACATAGGCACCTTATTGTCAAGTTGTGCCACTATTTCCTTTTCTGCACACTCCATTTAGAAAAAAAAAAAATCTATATTCTATCTTATATTCTCTTTGACTGCCCTTCCTTACCTACCAAACACAATATCCTAATTAGTTTCTCAATAACCCATTCAATACTTTCAGTGTTCTAAATTTCAAAATCAGCTCTCATTCTAATTATTTCCTTCATTCACGAGGCTGATTTCAGTATACAATCTTTTATTAAAATAAAAAAATTAATAAATAAATAAATTAGCAACACCGCCGATCAAGACAATGTTAATGATTTCGACTACACATAAGACCATGGTGTTAAACGTGTTAAATATTTTGAATTAAATAATATGGTTAACTTTCTATAATTTTACTTAGATTAAAGTTTAGTCAATGAATGGCTTTATTAGTTCTTAGAATATTTAATTTCCTGTTGGGTTACTTTAGTTATTATCTAACCTGTTGCTTTTGACCCATAAAAAAAAAAATTATGGAAAATATGTCAGTTGAAGAAATCTACTGGTTACTAATGCAGGTTTATGGAAGCAAGAACTTAGTATATATTGGTGACTATTGCCATTCTTTTTGATGAAATATCTAATATTGCTGATTAATTGAGTATCAAAGAATGTACTCCGATCGGTGAATAGTGGTCTTGAGGGAGAAGTTGAAAAAATGTTATTAAACAAATTGAAGCAAAAAAAATATGTGGTTGATATTGTTAACATGACAAAAAAAAATAATTTAGTTGAAGTACTTTTCAGAAGATTTAATTTAAATTTTAATTATTGATTAAACTATTTATAGTTTTAAATATATATTTTTCTTTTAGATTGATCCAAATGCTATTGAGAAATTTGAACATTTTCCTTTATCTGCTCCAACCCTAAAGGGATTAAAAGATAATAAATACAATGTTCCAACTGAAATACAACGCGAGAGTATTGGTTATAGTTTACGTGGTGAGGATATATTGGGTGCAGCTAAGACTGGTAGTGGCAAAACACTTGCTTTTTTAATACCGGTTAGTAGTATAATAACAAATTTATTTTTAAAATTTACAATAAATTGTATGTAAAATAATTATTGATACATTTATTAGGTATTAGAAATTTTGTATTGCAACAAATGGACTCGTACAGAAGGATTAGCTGCATTAATCATAACTCCAACAAGAGAGTTGGCATATCAAATATTTGAAACATTACGTAAAATTGGTGTCCATCATGATTTTTCAGCTGGTTTGATTATTGGTAAATATATTCTATTACACATATTAAAAATATTTTATTTAGGATATTGAATCATCAAAATATAACTGTATTTCAGGTGGTAAAGATTTGAAGTTTGAGCGTAAACGTTTAGATCAATGTAATATAATGATTTGTACACCTGGTCGTTTGTTGCAACACATGGATGAAAATCCATTATTTGATTGTTCTAATATGTTGGTATTAGTACTAGATGAAGCGGATCGTTGTCTTGATATGGGTTTTGAACAAACCATGAATAGTATTATAGATAATTTGCCTCCTGAAAGGCAGACTCTTCTATTTTCAGCAACTCAAACCAAGTATATTTTTATGAACTAAATAATTATTTCAATATTTATACATTAACTGTATATTATTTAATTATATTAAATACATGTAATATTTATGTATATATTTGTATATTATATTAAATTAATATTTTAGGTCTGTAAAAGATTTGGCAAGACTCAGTTTGAACAATCCTCATTTTATTTCAGTCCATGAAGCTTCTAAGCACAGTACACCCGCAGGTTTAGTACAAAGTTATATGGTGTGTGAATTACATGATAAAATGAGTCTCCTATGGTCTTTCATTAAGAATCATTTACACCATAAAGTACTTGTATTTATGTCTAGCTGTAAACAGGTAACATTTATATATTTTAGATCAAAGTATGTGATATGCACAATAGATTGATTGGAAATTTCACTGTTTTAGGTAAAATATTTTTATGAAATATTATGTAAACTTCGACCTGGAACTAGTCTTTTAGCATTGTATGGTACTATGCATCAAACAAAACGTATGGCTGTGTATGAGTCTTTTAGTAGAAAGCAGCGTTCAGTTCTTTTTGCAACAGATATTGCTGCTCGAGGACTTGGTAACTTTATTATTACAATAGTTGCTACTTATTGGACTCACTTTGGGCCGGGTCATTTGAGTCTATTAATCGAATGAGTTGATAAGGCAAATGACCCCCGCCACAAAAAAAAAAAATACTTATTTACTTAAAAAATATTTATTGGGATTTCAGCAATATTTTATGTTGTAATAAAATACGGTAATAAAGTAACGAAGTACATACATAGTTACATTTTCAATAAGAATCCATTCAAAGTTGATTGGATTTTTCCTTTCTTTGTCAACTTCATAATTACTTATATGCATTTATAGCATGATTACTTATATGTATTGGACGTATATGCACAATATTATATTTATTTATTTAATTTAAATGACCCCATTAACTGGTGTGAGTCTAATAGACAAATTTTTTGCTGTATCTTGGTATAAATGCAAATTGGGAACAGTCGTTTTCAGTCTAATAAGCGACGACCACTGTATTATAACTCTTATTTTAAAAATAGTTATATTATAAATATATTAAATATATAAATATGACAAAAATAAAATAATTCATTACAAAATCTGGTTATTTATTACTGTAAATACTTGGTCTTGAACTATTGAAAATTGATTATATTTTCTAATTTTGCAAATAATTAATAAATATAAATAACAACATTTTTTACTTCATCAATTTTTTATAGTTAGTACAATTTACATAAATAGTTACAATAAAAAAAAAAATTATTTCTATCAGGATAACAATGTAATGCTTGTAAAGTTTAGATGTTGTTACCCTTTGAAAATATATATTCATAATAAAATTTAATTTTTATATATGTATTAATACAATATAGTAATAATGTATTCAATGTAAAATTATTTAAAAATATATTTTTAAATATTTTGTTATTTAGATTTTCCTGCTGTAAATTGGGTTGTTCAATTGGATTGTCCAGAAAATGCAAATGAATATATTCATCGTGCTGGTAGGACAGCCAGATTCCAAAAGTCTGGAGAATCACTTCTAGTTCTTTTGCCTTCTGAACTAGCTATTTTGGAGCAATTGGAAAACAAGAAAATACCAATTCAAGAAATAAAGTAAATATTATAAATAATATTTAATATTATTGTAATTAAATTGTATTTATTTATAGAGTTAATCCAAATAAATTGACTTCAGTGCAACGGACATTGGAAGCAACTTTGGCAAAAGATCATATTTTAAAAGAATCTGCTCAACGAGCATTTGTTTCTTACATCAAATCTGTATTCTTAATGAAAGATAAAAGTGTGTTTGATGTTTCAGCTTTAGATACGGATGCATTTGCTAGGTGAATATTATTCTTGATATTTGTATGAACAATATTAATTTAAGCATGTTATTAAATACTGAATCAATATATTTTTATTATTTTATAATATCCATAGGTCATTAGGTTTAGCAATTCCACCCCGGGTACGATTCCTACAAAAATGGAAGAAAGCTAAAGAATTAAAAAAAAAAGAAAAGGAAACACTTGCTCAAAGTATGGTTGACAATCTTAGTGAGAAATTAAATAAATCATCTGACTCAGAAGTTTCTGAAGTTGTTGAAGATGAACCTCAATTAAATCGATCATCTTTTAAAGATTCTTATAATTTCCATGATGGTAATTTTGATTACCTTTTTACTTTAAATGAATTAATAATATTTTGTATAATATATATGTTATTAGATGATAACAGTGATGAAGAAAATGATGATTTATTTACTGTAAAACGGAAAGATCACAATATTCTAGAAGCTGATGTCTTGGAAAGCGAAGGAGAGTTACAAACTGATATTAGCAATAAGAAGAAAAAAAAACCTTTAACTAAAGCAGCAGTGGCGAAAAAAATGATTAAAAAGCAAATCAAACCAAATCAGAAAACTGTTTTTGATGAAACTGGAGAAGTAAGAATTATTTGAATTTATGAATTCGCTCTGAATACAATAATAATTGATTCATTTTTTAGGCTGTATTGGATAAGGCTAAAACAAAAGTTTCACGTTTAGCCAGAGAATACGAGAATAATGATGACAAGGGCGGTATTGATATAGAACAAGCCAAACAAATGTTGCGCGAGGAGGATGTATATGACAAACAACTGTTCCGAGAGAAGGTTAAAGCTAAACACAGAGAAGAAAAGAGAAAAGCCAAAGAAGAAGCTAAGAGAGCAGAAATGGAAGGTGCAAGTTCTAGTGACGAAGCATCTGTTGATTTGTCTTGGTTACCTGATCCAGACAAGGTATATGGTAAACGGGAAAGTGGGGATTCAGATGATGAGTTAAATACTCAATCAGGTTCTGTGTTAGAGCTTGAATCAGAAGTCGATGAAGAATCATCCAATATCCATAGGTAAGTTATCCAAGACTATTTATTTAATTTTTTAATTATATTATATAACCATTTTTTGCTGTATGACTATGCAGACCACCTAAACGGAAGTTACTAACTAATAAAAACAATAGTAAAAAACGTAGAAAACTTGAAGATTTGGATGAACCTATAAACACTGGTTTAAGTCTTATGGAAGATGAAGAGTTAGCACTGAAAATGTTGGATGCGTTGTAAGATTTTCTTTGATATTTATTTTATTGTTTAATTTTTTTTTTATTCAATTAATTTAAAATTAAATCATAAAATGTGGAAAAAATTAGATTATACTATGTGTCCTTTATATGCAATATGTTACCTGTAATGTTGATGATTTTTTGAATAATCAGATTAATTGAAAATCACTAATGTTATTTAATAAATTAATTTTTAGGAATTTATTTAAAAAAGTATAAAAGTTAGATTCTGTGGCATGGTATTATTATTTATTTCCTAGGTATATGTTAAAATGCTTATTACCAAATAAATAAGATATCTAGTTTTCAAGTAGGTCTGTGTACTGTAACGAAAACAAATGAATGTATGAGGAATTAGTATTTATTTTACTGTGGTAAAGTGATGACATAAGCCAGTGGTGGTAACGCAATCCATGAGATATCCAGGCGAAGGTGAAAAACTGGTTGGAGTGCTGGACCATCATTGACGAGGTAGCAAGGAGTGTTGGTTGAAGCTAGCACTCAACCTGCTGTACTTGCTACACCATACGAACCGATTAGCACTGGCCGTCTTCCGTCTATAGTAGCGCAAGTCAGCTCCTGAAGGTCTTATAACTATCAAGATGGAAGAGTGACTAGTTTGTGCTGCCAGTTGCTTTTTTATAAACCGACCTTTGTTGGTGGTTCAAAACCAGCTCTGTATTGTGTTCTAGAAGTTCGAAGTGTGGTGTGATGTTTTGTAACAGGATTTTATAATAATGTTAGCAAAAAAATTATAAAAATAAAGTAATAATAATAAGGTGATTATTATAATCGCGGGTGCACTGGATATTGCGGCACCGATAATGGTGACCGCTGAACATGATTATGCATATTGACAAATCGTACTATTTATCATAGTATTGGATATGACTTGCGTAGTAGACTGGATATTTATTTATTGTATTGTCTATTTTGTTATTAAGTCAATCTATTAACTTATGTAGTTAAACAATTTGAATGATGTACAATTTTTAACCCAACCTTACCTTTTAATTAGTTAATGTTCACTTTTGCAGATCTCTAGAAACTTAAGGTATGATCACAAAATTTTTATGAATCAAGTATGCTGAGTTAACTTATTAATTAATGTGATGATTTACAAAAAAACGCACATGCTCTGATACATCTTATAATATTCAATGCATTCAAAAACTAAACTTAATTTTAATAATTCATAGATTTTAGAAATTATATCGATTTAAATTTTTAAATTAATTGTTTTAATTCTGTTATGAGTTTATAGGTTATCATACTGTTATAACATGTATCAGTGTTCAAAACTTGTGTTAAGATTTTACTACTAGCTGGTAAATATTTTAAATTTTGTATTTTATTCCTAACTAATACTATCGAATGAGGAAAAGGAATTGCAAATATATAGTTATTGGTAAAGATGGTCTACTCGTGAACACAATATGAATTAGAGCAAAACGATTTTAGAAATGAGTTATAATAAAAGTTATTATAATTATATTAATTATGGAATAAATGATTTGGTAAATCGAAGACAATAATAAGCAATAATTAGTCATGGATTAATAAAGAACAATGTTCTAGGAATTGAGAAATATAAATGAGTACTAAGGCGCAACATTTATTGAACTCTCGAAACCAAGATATTTTATGAGTTAAACGACAAATATTTCCCTCCGAATTGTACATCTATTCGAGGAAAACCCAATGTTAATGTTTATCTGTTATTACGTCACTTATTGTACGATGTATATAGCTTTACGTTTACCTCTGCCATTCATATATGTATAGATATTTATTTATAAAGTATTGTATTTAATAATAATAATACTACCGCTAACGTAATATATCACAATCACGATGTTTCACCTGGTTTTAAAACTCTTGACGGCCGCGGAAACCTCATGCATCAATAATAATTATTTTAGTAATATTAAAGTTATGTTTTGCCGCAGATTTTTGATAGGATACCGTATCGTTTCTTACGCGGCGGCGCTACTAGACAGAGGATACTCGAATTGCCTCCCGTAAATAATTTAAAAAAAAGGTTACTCGAATTGCCTCCTATTTGAAAATTTTCCATTAATTGAATTAATACAATCGATTTATACAATAATACATTTATAAGTTGATTATAATACTAATAGGTAAAGGCCTAGATACATATATTGCCTAATATACGCAATACTTAAATAACATTATTATTATTATATATATATATATATATATATACATTAGAAAAATTTAATGTATGTAAATTACAAATGTATAATATTTCAGATAAATATTTACAGTTATAGAATACTTAAACTAATAGTTAATATTAACACCTAAAGAATGTATAAAACGTATGTCAATTTAAAATATATTTATTCTATATACATATTTAGTTGATCAAAAATAAAATTATATATTATTTTCTCGGGTTAAACTTAGATGCTAATAATTTTACATAATTTAATTGTGATATTTGACTTGTCTTTAATTGATGTATTAAGTTATTCATGAAATTTATTTTATCTTTAGTTGCTTTTTTCACTTTTTTAATTTCTATTATGGAAGAGTTTATTAAAATGTCCGTGTTAATTTGTATGGATTTTAATACTTTTCAAAATGTATAAACATTGGGATGTGTCGACATGAGATGAGAATTACATTTTCTATGAAATGATTCACAAGTATTGGTTGACCTTTGTGAACTAGCAGTCATTGCAGTCCATATACTTGGTGGAAAAGTGGAGTTTTCGTCAATATAATTTTCAGTCAAATAATCGGCAAATTTAGTGACTTTATCATAATTTGGTTTAAGTTCACCAAGATCTACAGCAAATACGTCACTCACTTACAACATAAAGTTATAAAATTACTAAATTGATAATCTATTATCTTAATAAAGTAATTGAATTACTTGTTCTGGATTCAAAAATGGAAGGCTCTAAAAATATTTTGTACAGTAGTTAAAAGTTCTATCCACGTATAAAGTATTTAATTTACTTAAAAACACAATATTTTTTTACGCACGAAAACATTACTAAACCATTTGATACATCGTTTACTAATAAAAAATTATCTACCTCAATAGATGCCAAAATTGTATGCACTTAAATTCTATTTTGTAGCAGTTTAGAATATTGTAAAATCCGAGTGTGATGCATATTATTTTTTATATAAATCATGTATGATGTCGTTAATGTATTTGTACTTACATTATGTTGTAAAATATGTTCATGAAAAAGTTTTGATTGTCTTTCAGAGTGTTGTTCTACAGCTTTTCGTTTCAGATGGTTGCTTAGTACTTGTCTATTATTTTTTTTCGTATATGTATGAATTATATTTGATACATCGAACATAATTTAATCGATTAAATTAGTTTTTAAGTAGGCTTTATATTTATTTTTGTTGTACGTTCATTTCTTAATTTCATTAGCAAGGTATTTTTGGAATCCATATTTGTAATCATCGACCATTAAAACAGTTTTTCCCTTCTCACTTAAAATTATAGACATTTTTTTAATTATACTATTATTTTAAATTATTAAATTATAACGAAAAATATACACACATATAGTTCACAAACGTATACTGACGCGATAGTGTAGATATAGTACCTACCTGGTGTTAATCTGTAGTTTTAAATTCAAAACCAGTAAAAGCAACATTATATTGCTATATCATACTCTGCTATTGTCTAATGGCAATTGGTTTTACCAATGTTAGCGAGCAGTAAGTACGAAAATGTGGCACTTTTATCTCTATTATACTCAAGTTTTATATACGTATTATCGTGTTTGTATAGACTGTTAAAATATTATTACAACCGCAAATAACCACACAATTTTCTTGTCTTCTATCACAAGTTTAGAATTTAGAACAAGTTTTGTCGCAGTATATTAACTATCACTCAATTTTTAATATCAAAATATCGAAATCGATGTCAATTATATCAATTGTTACGGGAGGCAATTCGAGTATGGTAAAATAGGGGCACTTGAATTGCCTCCAAATTATCCGAAGGTAATTCGTGTGCACCGGCTAGATAGACGTAAAATACGCCACACCGTCCCCGTCTCCGCGTTGGTCTTGCATTTTTGAGTTAGGTTTAACATCGGGAACAAAAGTTGTTTTTACCATATTTTTATTTGATTTATTTTAATTGTATGCAAGTATCCGAAAACTTGTACACGATTTCTTTAAGAGACTGTTTTATTGTATTTTATCGTAGTAAAAACACAAAAAATTAAAATATAACGTTAATTCACCACTGGCGTAAAGCCCCATTGTGTCTTTGTTATCATAATTTTGGTGTCTGAATAAAATTTCCTTTTTCCTGGAGTTTTTTCCTCGCCACGTTTTTACACTCGCAACGTTAATGGAAATAATATTTTTCTCTCTATCTCTCTTTTTAATTTTTCTTTCATGAGATTATTTTTGTTTACGTGTATTTGTTGGTTTTCCGGATTAACCGCGTGCGCGGAGTAGAAGTATGTCATCAGCGCGACGCGATGTCACAATAATGTCTACTGCTGCTTTTGTTCTCGTAGTTTATACATCTCTAAGTTGACTCTGCGCGAAAAAGTTTTCTCTCCACCCCCGATGCTCTTCTGTTTTGGCGCGTTGTCTTGTGCGTGTTAAAAAGTTTTATTTTCTTAACGACTTCATACCGGTGGCACGACGCAACCCACATACTGCGATAACAATTGCAATACGACTGCGACTACAATAATTGCGCACCGGGATGGATACTAGATTTTGGGATAGGTTTAAGTGGTTGTGCTCAAGTTGCAGGCGTCGAATTCGATATTCACTTCTTTACAGGTACTTTTTTCAGTTCGTTTAAAATCTAAAATTGATATTATGTACCTATAATTATGTAAATTTTTACTTCATCGATCATAAAATGCGTTTTATAATTGACATGAATATATTTTGTTGTGCTTTCGCAACTTGTACGCCAGGGGCGTCATTTCAACTTTTGAAAGGATGGGGCAACTGATTAAATTTGCTGACTACATAATATTTGAAAAATTATAGCTACCTATATATTTAAATATTCAATATTTATGGACGATAGACTATCAATAAAATATTTTTTCGGAACAAAACATGTAATGATAAGTAATGAATAATGATGTCATGATGATAAGCAAAGAACATGAAACGTTTCAATTTACCCA